TTCAGCCTCAGGCAGATATTTTTGAGAAGGCAGAAAGCAGCCACATTCTTTAGCAGAATATCACAATGCAGTCTCTAGGCCACATATTGATATTTTTCTTTGAAACCTTTTGAGCCAGGCCCCCACCTCAGTACCACTGTCTTCCATGATCCTACTAAAATGACCCAATGAGCTCTGCTTAAAGTGTCCGATCACTTTTCTAGTCCAAAGTCCCAAGGTGTTCCATAGTCCTCCAGGCAAAAGCATGGTGTGGCCCATCACAACAATACCCCAGTCCCTGGTACCAACTTAGTCTTAGTCAGTGTTGTATTGCTATAAAGAGACACCACGAACACGGCAATTCGTATAAAAGAAAGCATTTAAGGGGGCTGGCTTGCAGTTTCAAGAGATTTAGTTCATTTTCTTCATGGTGGTGAGCATGGCAGCATGCAGGCAGACATAATGCAGGAGAGGGAGCTGAGAGTTCTACATCCAGATTCACAGGCAGCAGGACCTGGCTTGAACACTTGAACCCTCAAAGCCCAACCCCAGTGACACATTTCCTCCAACACACAAGGCCACACCCATTCCAACAAGGCCACACCTCCTAACAGTGCCACTCCCTATGAACCTATGGGACCATTTCATTCAAACACCACAGCTGTGGGAGATCAACATGGGTCATTTGGTGACCGAGGGTGAGAGAATAGGACACTCAGGGAGCTTGAGCAGGTTCATTGATTTGGGGTGTTGGCTGAGGGCTGCTTGTGTAAGGTCACTGGTACTTCTCAGCTCTGAGCCCTGAGTCTGAGCCTCTGAACACTTGAGTGCTAATCCCTGAGCATGGATCTATGAAGGGAAGCCAGAGGCAGGAGGCCCTGTTAGTTTCACAGTTGGTTGGAGGCCTGATGAGAAGAAGGAGTAAGAAGGGGGATGGGTTGAAGTTGGGAGCTGCACCCTGGGAAGCTCCCCTTGTATCTGGTCCCAAGGCTGAGGCAGAGGAGACCTGGGCCCTCAAATTGCTCTTTTCAAGTACCTGTGGTGATCTGATCCTAGGGACATAGGACCCCAGGCTGCCTCCTGGCCCTTCATACATTGTGGGGGCACACAGACTGTGAGTAAAGAGTCATTTCCCTTCAGCTTTATATTTGAGACTTGTGACTGTAGCAGTGTAGGGATGCTCCAGGCCATTCCCCAGTCCCTGCCTCACCCCAGCAAGCTTCCCCCATGGGGAGTTGCTTCCCTGCTTTTATTAGGCAGCATCCCAACCTTTACCTCTAAGCATTTGGGTGCAGGTTCCAGGACAGCAGTATCATCTTCAGCCAGGCTGCTACCCTTGGAACCTGAAGAGTTCCTGCAGCTTCTGTGTCTGCTCTCCTGACCCCCAACTCCACCCCAGCCCAGTGTGAATGGGTTATGCCTGAGTGATTCTTCAGCCTCTTTCCCAAGAACCTTCCTCTGGCTTCTTTGGGCTTCCATGGCTCTGACTTGAAGGTGCAGGACTGATGGTCTAGTATCAACCCATGGATAACATGTCCTTAATTGTGCTCAATCCAGGGCACTAAATGTCATCTTTTGGAATGGTGTCTGTGTGGCTGAGCACCATGTGTACATAGGAGCCCATGGAGGTCCAAAGAGGCCATCAGATCCTGTGAAATGAGACACAGGCAGTTGTGAGCCACTATGTGGGCTCTGGGAACCAAAGCTAGGTCCTTTGTAAGAGCAGTGAGTGCTCTTAATGGCTGACCTATCTCTCAGCACCCAACCCTTGTCATCCTGCTACATGACCTTGAGCAAAGGTAATCACTCATCCTAGTAGTTACCTTTTGTTGAGTTTGGGGAACTAAGCCACAAGCATAAGGCTCAGGGACTTTTGTGGACAATATTGCTTAGAGTAGGGGAGAGCTAGAAAAGTGTGCAGAAGCAGAGACTATGAAACAGGAATCCATGGTCAGACAGTGGATCAGAGGTTAAGAGCGCTGGCTGCCCTTCCAGAGGTCCCGAGGTTCAATCGCCACAACCTGTAACTCCTGTTTCAGAGGCCCTGACACCCTCTTCTGACTGCCCTCCCCCACATACACATAAGTAAAAATAAATCTTCAAAAAGTCTAGAGAGTAAGTGACTCTTGGGACAAGTGACAGGGCAGCTCCTCAAAGCAGAGCATAGGGGCAGCCGAGACCACGGGGCCCCTTTGCCCATGTGTAGGGGCTCCCTCTCACTAATTTCTCCCTCTCAATAATGCACAGTGTAGGCTGTGCACACCTCCACCTAGCAGTGGCACAGGCCTGTCCAGCCTGTTGGCAGGATTGAGCTGTGTGGCCAGGCCCCAGAGAAGTTCCCTAACTGCCACCCTCGAGGGTCCTCTGAGGCCCTAGGAATCTCAAAGGCAGGGGACACTTGGAAGTTTCAAGTGTCATAAAGCTAAAGTAGTTGCTTAAAACTAGGTAAGGCTTTTCTCCTTAACCTCATTCCAGCTGCCTGCTGGTCAGTCAGTGTCCCATGTTAGAGACGATTCTGGTGGAGAACAGCAGACTATGCCTTACCAAACCACTGAAGTAGAAGGTCCTCTGCCAGGTGGCAGTCCTGGACAGGCTTTGGGAGATTGTAGGCGGGAAGTTGAGACATCGGGGTTCCCCGGGTGTCCTTCTCTGGCCTCATGAGACCTAGCTGAGGTCACCAAAGGCCCTGCCATTCAAGATTTTGCCACTGCCTCCTGCTGTTTATGGTCCATGATGCCACTCCTTGCTAAGGTCACATGAAGTCATATAGCACATCGGCTGCCTCAAAGTTGTAAGTAACATTCCTTTCTGAGCTCTGTAGGCACCACCCATCTCTTGGGACAGTGATCTCAGGTATTCTCCATCATAGTACAGTAAGTAGACTGACAGGCAGGGCTGTCCCATCTACCATGGGAGTCTTTTGAAAGCCTGTTTATAGACGAGGAAATTGGGGCTTAGAGAGGGGAAGCCGTCTTCTGAGGCACACCCAGCCCTTAAGCCTTGTGTCTGGCCTAGGCTCAGGTATTTAGGTCTGGCCCCAGAGCCTGAGGTCCCGCCATCTGCATCAGCATACCCAGAGATGCTAGGGGTGGCAGGTCCAGGGCAGCTCAGCACAGTTTAGCCTGGAGGGCTGGCTTTTTGTTTGTTTGTCACCTTGACACAAGCTAGAGTCATCTGGGAAGAGGGAACCTCAACTAAGGAAACACCTTGTAGGCAAACCTTTGGACATTTTCTTGATTGGTTGCTGATGTGGAATGGCTCAGCCCACAGTGGGTAGCCCCATTCCTGGGAAGAAGATCCTGGGCGATGTAAGGAAACATGACGAATAAGCCTTGGAGAGGAAGCCAGTCAGCAGTGTTCCCTGGCCTCTGCTTCAATTCCTGCCTGCAGGTTCCTGCCTGGAGTTCCTGCCCGGACTTCCCTCTTTGATGGACTATAAGCTGTCAGATGAAATAAACCCTTTCCTCCACAGATTGCTTTTGGTCACTATCTTATCAAAGCAACAGAAACCAAAGTAGGACAACGACAGCTGGGTTGGTCCTCAGTCTCCTCTCCTCTGCATCCCCATGCCTCACCTCCTACCTTATAATGTCTGCCAAAATCTGCTCTTGGAAATGAATCTGCATGGCTAGTTTCTTTATGAGCTTACTGCTGGGTTTGTGGTTCCCAGGACCCACAAGGGAAGGGTGCAGGTGAGGAGGCATGAAGGCCTCCAGCCTGCTCAAGCTTCTGACCCTGGGTCCCCAGCCAAGACCTCAGGTTTGAACCCCTGCCTGCTGCTTCTCAGCCCACTTGGAGCCATGCCAGAAAATTGCTCCCTGGGGGTTGTGGCTGAGTCACAACACAGATGGCACCTAGGGGCTAGTAGATGCTATGCTTGGTTTGTTTGGAGCACTTCTTGTAGAGGGGTCTCCCTGAGCCTGCAACCTTTCCTCCACTTCCTGGAAAGACATCCCAGCTCCATTCTCTCCTGCTGCCTGGCTTGTAGATTGGGTTCATTTATCATCACTATGCTGAACTTACCCAAGTGCCATGATCGGGGAGCCAGGGCTGTCTACATCTGTTAGGATAATTCCCAGGCAGGTACTGTTTCTCTGCCTGTTTTACATGGAGAAACCGAGGCACAGGGAGCCCAATAATCTCCCCTTATGGTCACCCAGACAGGGAGCTTGTGGCCTTGAAGGGTTTTATTTGTTTGAGAAAGGGTCTCACTCTGTAGACCAGGCTGACCTCAAACTCACAGCGACCTGCCTGCCTGCCTGCCTCTGCTCCCCACTGCTGGGACTGAAGGAGTCGTCACCATGCCTGGCTTTGAAGGTGGTTTGATGTTTTCATTTGGTGAGATGTTGAAAAGCCTGGTTTGGTTTCAGCTCAAACTGATTCAATATTTTGCAGGGAAAACAAAACAAAACTGGTTTCATTCATTCTGTGGTTTTATAAAGACTTGGGTTTGGCTGAGCTTCAGCCACTTACTTCTGTAGCGCCTTTCAGCTTGCAATCCAGTCATATCTTGAGAGTAAAGACCTGGACTGTCCACTGAGAGGGCTGCAGGGCAGTGAGGAGGTTGGGGTGCTGGGCTCTGAAAAGCTCCTTGCCCCATCCCAGGCCTGGACGCAACACCCATTCTGGCCCTCCTGTCTCAGGACTGAGCCATCCTTTCTGGCTGGCTTTCAACTGCTTGCTTCTGCCTTTCAAGTTCTGGGATTAAAGGCACGAGTCACACACCTGGCTGCAGGAATGCATGTACCTTAAGCAGCCTTCCTGAGCAGGGAGGGGACCCAGCTGTGTGAAGGTATTTGGGAAGGCGGCCCTGGGGAAGGTATAGCTTCTCCTGGGCTGGTGAGCACCTGCCGAGGTTGTTCACCCACTGTTCACTAGGGGCGCATTTTCTTATTCAGAGAAGGCTGGCAGTCATGTGGGGCAGGCAGCCTGTGGTAAGGAGAGAGGAGGGAGCCCCTGCCCCCGAAAACGCCTGTGTCCCGGGACTCCCATCTAACATTTAATCTTTTTTTCTCTTGCAGTCACCGAGAAGGAAGTACAGCAGTGGTGAGTACGAGAAGCTACTGTGTGCTGGGTGGGTGTGGGCTGCCAATGGGCGCAAAGTGAATGGCCTGTGGGACAGGGAGGGTCCAGGAGATGGCCATCCATACCCCGTTCAACATCCCCCAGTCATGGGGGGCTGTGCAGTGTCCACTGAACAGGCTGGAGGAGGGCAGTGACTCCTCCCCTGGTTGTTTTGTTTATTTTGTGGGTTCTCTTTTCCCTTTATAATGATTTATTTGCTTTTATTGTGTTTTGCTTTTGTGTACGTATGTGTACTGTATGCGTGCAGTGCCTGTGGAGGTCAGAATAAAGACTGGGTCCCCTCGAACTGCAGTTATGGGTGCCCATGAGCTGCCATGTGGGTGCTGGGAACCAAGCTTTGCTCCTCTGCAAGAGCAGTAAGTGCTCTTAACCACAGAGCCATCTCTCCAGCCTTCTCCCTGGTTTGTTTGTTTTGAGATAGGGCCTCAAATATGTAGCCCTGGCTGGCCTGGAACTCACAGAAATCCACTTGCCTCTGCTTCCCAAGTTCTGAGAGTAAAGGCACATACCATCGCCACCACCTGGCCAATTTGTTTTTGAGGCAAGGCCTCTCATTCCTACCTAGGGCTCTCTAATATGACTAAGCTGGCTGTCCAGATTGCTCCAGAGAGCCCTTGTCTCTGCTTCCTCAATGTCTCCAGTACTGGGGTTATAAGTGCATGCTATCACATTGGGCATTTTCCTGCCAGGCAGACACTTTGCTGACACAGTGCCATCTCCCCAGCCCCACCTGTGGTTTCCATTAAGACTCAAGCCAGAGGCTGGAGACGATGGCTCAATGGCTAGAGTACTGGCTGTTCTTCCGGGGACCTGTGTTAGATTCCCAGCAGCCACATTCTCAGCTCATGTTGTCTGTAACTTCAGTTCCAACATGCTCTTCTGGGCACCAGGCACACATATGGTAACACAGACATACAAGCAGTCAAAACACCCATCACATAAAGTAAAGTAAATACAAGTCAAGAGATTGAGATCCAGTCTTTATTTTATCATGGAATCACTCTGGCCCTTGAGAACACTTTCCCCTGCTCTGGGGCTCAGTTGCCATTTTTAGAAAATACTAGATGGACAGGCAGTGATGGTGCATGCCTTTAATCCCAGCACTCTGGAGGCAGAGGCAGGCAGATCCCTGGATGTGTGTGTGTGTGTGTGTGTGTGTGTGTGTGTGTGAGAGAGAGAGAGAGAGAGAGAGAGAGAGAGAGAGGATAGGAAAATATACCTGGATGCCAGCCCCTGTCAGTTTGTAACAGCTGTCTGAAGCACTGTGTTAAAGAAAGATTCTGAAGTGACATGTCACAGAGCAAGTAGAAAGTTCAGCAGTGAGGAGTTACTGAAATCTGCAATGAGCTAGTGATGCCTGCTCAGACAGGAGAGGCTGTGAATCCTGTGAGGGGAGAGAGGAGGTGAGCTTGGAGACATTTATGATTGAGGGGAGCAGAACTCAGATTCTCTATGACTGTTCCCTAAATTTGCACATCAGATTCCATGCTGCAGAAAGGAGCTGTGGCCAGCCTTCCTGGCTCTGTTGGTGCTCACTGAAGATCTGGCTGGGAGGGCAGAGCCATCTCTGGTTATTCACTACTTACCCACCTCCTCCAGGAACATTCCAGGAGTTTCTGGGTCTTCCTGCCTCACTGGTCTGTGTTCTTGAGCTTGTCTTCCCTGCTGTCTCCCTGCCTCTGCTGGCAGCCCTTGGGCTCTGAGGAGCAAGCACTTGCAAATGCAGGCTTCTGCTAAGCCCCTCTCCCACCATGGGTAAAGGCTATGGAGTTCTGAGTTCCCTTGCTAGGTCCAGCCCTGCTGAGCTCCAACCTGGCCTGAAGCTGGGAGTCCCACCAGTGCCCCCAACCCAGAGCTCCCTGACTGCTTGATTCAGGCTTGTCCCTGCAAGAAGCACCCTTCCACTATGTAGACAGTCATCAGGAATGGGTCATAGATAATGGCATTCTGACCAGTCTTCAGTGTTGTGGACTGTTATTGAATTGTTACCACACAAAGGGCTAGAGAGATGGTTCAGAGGTTAAGAACACTGGTTGCTCTTCTAGAGGTCCTGAGTTCAATTCCCAGCAACTACATGGTGGCTCATAGCCATCTATAATGAGATCTGGTGCCCTCTACTGGTGTGTAGGCTGACATGCAGACAGAACACTGTATACATTAAAAAATAAATCTTAAAAAAAATTGTTACCACACAAAATGAGCCCACTTGTCTCTTGATGGCCAAAAAGTCTTTTTTTTTTTTTTTTTTTAAAAGCTTGGGACTTTGTCCACAAGCCTGTTAGGTTAGAAGTTAGATCAGGGACCTACAGTCGCTCCTGTTCCTGTGACCCCAGTGCCCCAGACCCTTTCACAGCTTTTCCTGTTCTGAACAACTAGCCCAAATCCAGGGGGTCTTTCCCATGTGGTCACTGCTCCTTGTACCCATCCCTCAGCCAGTGCCAGAAGGTCTGGAGATGGAGCCAAACGGTCTGGTCTCTTGACACCCCAAAGCTTGCCTAAGGCTCAACTCCTTGCCCTGGCCCTTTGGACTGCCTGGAGGCTCAGACCCTCCGCCCCTCACCGCAGCCTCTCAAGCACCTGCCCTCACCCAGGTCCAATGTGTACCCCTTGGAGTCTTCATCTTTGCTGCTATCTCTCCTAGCCCCTCCACCCCACCCCTCAGCTGTTGGGCAGGTCTCAGAGGAGAGGTTGCCAGTCTCCAGCACCACGCAGAATCACCTTGTTTTGTACTGATGTCTAAAAGCCCCTGTTCAGGGTGCCCATGTGATGCTGTCCCTGCCGGAGACAGAGCTAGAGGAATCAGGACTAGAACTCAAGACCTGGATTTCTGGGGGAAGGGGGATGCCTGGGCCAGCCATCAAGGAACCCAGCCCCCAGCCCCAGGTAAACCTGTTCTTTTGCACAGGAAAAAGGTCCAAGACTCAAGGGGTGGGGCCACCTTCAGTCTGCAGCCTGCCTGTGTCCCAGGCTCTCTCTTAGGTCCGACTGTCCACAGAGCTGGCATCAGCCTTGTGGAGGTCAGAGGCACGGTAGGGGCTGTCTGAGGAATACCTTGGGAACCAAAGCTTGCAGTGCCCTAGAATGTGTTCGATTATTTTATAATTACTAAACATCCTGGCAGCACACTAACAATGTAGTGGGTAGAAACAGGAAGGGTATCTTCAAGTGCCTCCGCAGGCCCAGCTGAATCATCCCACATGGCTGTGGTAAGGAGCCAGGTCCGCTCTTGTTCCCAGGTCTTTTGTGGGCAGGTGCTGTGCCAACACTTAGCACCCTTCAGAGAGTCCTGAGTCCTAGGAGTAGCCTTATCTTATAATGAAGAGATAGGTTCAGAGAGGTGGAGATGTTTGTCTGGATCACACAGCTTTGTGAGTGTGTGTTTGTGTGTGTGGTAGGGAAGGTGGTTTGGGTCTAGCTTGTTTCTCATTCATGCTCTAGCATTTAGGGGCTATATATATTGTTTTTTGTTTTTGCTGTGAGGGACCCAGGGAACTGCAAGCCCTGAGGAAAGGAAAGGGGGGAGGGACCCTCTTCCTCTAGGGTGATATGGGGAGGTAGGGGTGGGCCCAGGCAGAGGGGCCCTTTGAAGAGTTGACAAGAAGGAGCAGTTTCCCAGGGAGGCCCCCCCTGCACCCTCCCAGCTGTGGCAGCTGATGGCAGCCTGTTCCGCTCCACTGTTCATCCATTTAGCTACTGATCTCTTCGATTCCGCTCCTTGGGAAGCAGATGTTGCCTTAATTACGGAGGCATGGAGAGGACAGGGACAGTTTCCCTGCAAGGTCCCAAGGACGAGTTTCTCCAGCTATCCTTGCTGACTAGGGTATGTGGGAGATGGGAGACTGTGTGTTGTGGGGCCTTGCCGAGGGAGACTGAGAGGCCACACTGGAATCTGTGTCATGGCAAATATCATTCATTCACCTTGCATTCATTCTCTTTCTGCTGCACACATACACCCTACTGGGAGTGATTCACAAGTGGCAGTCACAGCATTAGGATCTCTGTAAGGTGATAGATTCCCTGCCTCCCAACTTAAGAATGCACTTGTCACCTCTGGGAGCATTTTTTCACATACTGAGCCCCATCACAAAGAGCTGGTCCCCAAATACAGTTTGGCCACATCCTAAGCACAGTGTCACATGTGGGTGTGGCCAAGCATGTGTGAGAGGTTCTGGCTGCTTGTTGAGTGTCCTTACCTCCAGTGCTATCTGCCCCAGCTCACTCAGGGACCTACAAGGCAAATGTTAGATGGACTTCTCACCTCAGAGATGGGGAAACAGGCTCAGTGAGACAGAGTCACCTGTTTAGGGTTGTTGTTTACAAGGACCAAGAGACCCAGGACCAGTACAGGTTTCCTTTAGAAGTCAGAGCCCTTCTTTAAGAAAAATAGTGAAGCTGGGCAGTGCTGGTGCATACCCTTTAATCCCAGCACTCTGGAGGAAGAGATAGGCAGATCTCTGTGAGTTCCAGTGAGATCTAGGACAGCCAGGGTTACACAGAGAAACCCTGTCTTGAAAAAAACAAAACAAAGGAAAAAAATAGTGATGATAAGAGTCAGGGAGTGCTCATTCAGCAGAGTAAGGGCCTGAGTTCAGGTCCCCAATGTCCATGCACAATGCTGGGCTTAGGCTGGAGATCTGGCATAGCAGTTAAGAGCACTTCTTGCTTTTGCAGAGGCCCTGGGTTCAGTTCCCAGCACTCACATGATAACATACAACTGTCTGTGTCCCTGGTTCCTGGGGATGAGGCTCTCTCCTCTGTTTTTCTCAGCACCAGGCACATTCATGGTACACATACACACATGTAAGCAAAACACTCACATGCATAAAGCAAGAATAAATACATCTTGCAGTATGTGTCTGGGGAGGGGAGGAATGGGGTCAAGAGGACCCCGGGGGCTTGCTGGCTAGCCAGTTGGTGAGTGCCAAGTTTAGCAAGGGACCCTGTCATATATCAGCTAGAGAGCAGCTGAGGAAGACGTCTGATGCTGGCTTCCACATACTTGATGCAGGCAGGTGTGTGCAAGCATGCTCAAATTCAAGCCGGGTGGGGTGGTTGTGTGTGTGTGTGTGGGGGGGGGTCATGTAGCCCAGGCTGGCTTCAAACTCACTATGTAGACAAGGATGGCCTTGATCTAATCCTCCTGCCTTCCCCTTTATAGTGCTGGGTGTGACAGGGTGCCACCACACCTGACTTGAAGCTGTGTTGATATCCCTAAGTTCTCGTGTGTTCAATGCAATCTGCCAAACAGCAAGCCTAGAGACCCAAGGTCATGAATGTGATAGTGATGATTGCCACAAACCCCAACCCCACTGCCCACTCCTGTCTTCTGTGAGCGAAATACTTGTATGAAGTGGGGCCTGTGTGGTCGACCCCCAGGTAACCTGTCCTTTCGGCAATGAGACTTCCTTCCTGAGGTACCAGTTTTCAGCGAGCTCTTGTGACTGTATGCCACTCTGCCCTCCTTCCCAGCCTGATCTGAGCCTGTGGTGGTGAGGACTCTTATAGAGCCAAGCTGGGAGTGCTGACCCCCAGAGTTTCCAGTTCTCATTAACAGTCCCAGGTCACAGAAGAGATGAGCAAGACTCAGGAGACACAGCCCTCTTCCTGTCCCTACCTCATTTGTAGAGTCTAGGCTCCAGAGTTGACCATCAAAGTTGCTAGACAATGGACTCCATTCAACATTCACTAAGAGCCAGGGGTCGCCGAAGATTCAGGACTACTCATGAGCCATGTGCTGCTACATAAGTTACACCTGACAATCCCAAGTCATAACCGAGAGCTGCCACCAGATCCAACCCGGTAACAGGGGGAAACAGGACTCTGTGTGTGCTGGGTGAGCTGAGGTAGGGGCTTCTCCCAGAGGAGGCAGCCAGGTTGGTGGAGGAGAGCACAGGTAATAGCTACTTCCACTAGCCTGTTTCTTTGTCTAGAAAATGAGCACCACAGTCTAGTCTCCTGGACTTGTTTGGATAATTTGGCAAAATTATGCCCGAAGAGCTCAGGCCCAATGCTCGGCCCCAAACAGGTGCATTGTAGGGGACAGCTGATATTCCTGGGGCTCAGGCAAGCCAGACATTTGTAGATCTTCCTGAGTTTAGGGTCTCCAAAGGCCACTTGGTCCTCAGCCTTGTGTGGCTCCCCAGTGTTTGGAGGAGGAGGCTGGAGATGCTACTAGCTAGGAGTACTGTTATCTATACATCAATGTTCAGAACACCCCCATATGTGGGGCTAGGGAAACTGAGGCATGGTGGGGTCTATCCTATAACCCTCTAGATAGGGGCTAGGAGCACAGATTCACATGTTCTGGTGACTGGCAGCAGCATTGGCCCAGCAGAAGAGAGGGAGGAGGTCTGGCCTGGTGGCAGCTAGCCCTGGCCTGGCGTGAGAAGGGTCAGGTCTCATTTGTTCTGTGTGGTCTTGAGGAACTGTGGGGAAGGCTGTTCACAACATGGAGCCCCCTCTTTAGCCAGCCAGTGGTGCACAAAAGCAGGTGGCAACCCCTGCCCTTCAAGGTGACAGCTTGCTGGTAGACTGGAAGCAAGCCAGTGGCCAGAGAGCCTGGGACCTCTCCCTCACCATCTAGTGGAGGCAGGCGCCCTCCTCCACTTTAGGAGGGCAAATAGTGGGTTATATAATGTTTGGGTATAATCGCTTTCCCAGCCGCTGGCATGGGGGTGGCGCAGCCTGGATCTCTTCCCAGAGAAGAGACTGGGAGGTGGGGAGGCTGGAAGGGAGGGGCTCCGCTTTTGCTAACAGACAGAACCTTGGGCTGATTTCATTCCCTCTCTGGGCCCCAGTTTCTCTCTCTCTCTCTCTCTCTCTCTCTCTCTCTCTCTCTCTCTTTCTCTCTCTCTCTCTCATACACACACACACACACACACACACACACACACACACACACACACACAGAGCTTGCTAACCTTGTTCACTGAGCTCTGTGGTTCTGGCTAGGACGTCTAGAGAATTCTGGTCCATGGAGCTCAGAAAAGGGACCTGGACACTTGGGCTCCTGCTCTCAACCCCACCCAGAGTCTTCTGTGTTCATTCAGCTCTCCAGGCACACACTTGATGGGTGTATGTCAGACACCAGGCCATGTACAGGCTGTCAAGCTCAGGCCAGTTGGGATTTGTAGCCAATGCTGAGTGAGTTGGAGAGGTACCTTGAAGACTATCCATCATGGGGGCTTCGGCATGTAAGGGTGGAACAGGACTCTTACCCTAGCCAGGTTAGACAGGTTGACATCCGGGATCCTGTCATGGTGAGTAGGTTGCAGAGCTTACAGGACTTGGGGGTTCTGAGCACCAAGGAGTGGTGGAAGGTACATGATGGGGGCCTCTGTGCAGGCTGGCACTCCTCCTAAGCTTCCAACATCACCTCATGGGGTGGCTTCTCCAGCCTCCTATTGATGGGGTGGGGTTCAGTGACACAGTCACTGCAGGGGTTAACTAGATACTCAATAGAGACTGGCACTCTGCCACCAGCCCCTGCAGCTGATGTCAGTGCCAATGACTCCCGCTGGTGCAGTGTGGGGCGCCTCCCCCACCCTGGAGCTGGCTCCTCTGGGCCTCCTGCGGTGCTATCTGGGCTGGGCTCAGAAGACAGTTTCACTTTTTTCCCCCTTTTCTTTGCTTCTTTATTCATTTTGAGACAGGGTCTCACTGTGTAGCCCTGGCTGTCCTGGAACTGTATCTGTAGACCAGGCTGGCCTCGAACTCACAGAGGTCTGCCTGACTCTGTCTCCTGGGATTAAAGGCATGTACTGCCATAGCTGGCATTTTCATTGTTTTTGAATAATTGTCAGGGTCCTTCAGATAGCAGGCAGCAGTTAGAAGCTGGGGAGGTGAGCGACTCCGGAGTCTGGCTTTGGGTCCGGTGGGGGTGTGTGTGTGTCATGAGATAGCCAGTTTTGCATCTGACCCAGGTGAGGAAGCTAGAGATGGCCTCAGGGGAGGAAGCTCAGACCCAGTGTCCGGCCCCTCACAGCCCCACTTTCCTTCATTCTGGTGCGCAGCTCAGGGGTCACAGGAACCGAGGGTTGCCAGGGCCAAGCAGACCCTTGGAACTTGCCAGGGATCTGAAGAAATTCTGGGTTGATGTGGGGAAACAGACTGGCAGGCAGAGAGCAACACAGGACAAGGCATTTTGAGTGACTGGACAGCCCAGCCGGCCTCATCTGTAAAATGGGATCATTGCTCTACCTCTCATGAGACTGCGGCTGCCTCCATGGGTGGGGAGTCACGGTGTCACAACAGGGTTCTAGCTCTTGACTCCCAGAATCCTCCACTTTGAGAATGGTAGCTCTGGCTGTCCAGTGAGGGAGGAATGGTCCTTAGAAGAGAGCGCACCCTGCCCGGGGAACAGCGGTGGCCTCAGTCACACACAGACACCAACTTAAAGCCACATGCAGTGAGCTTCAGTGTGCTGACGGTACACTAGGGACTTTTGTACATGGTTTGTGGCATAGTCTGATATTGGAGCGTGAATACTGGTGGTGAGTTTTAAATATCAGGCCCCAGGGGCACACGCACCATGTCACCCAAGTCTAGCAAGATTGGTGTGTCAACCATTGTTTCTCGTACATGAGCATTCTGAGAGGTGAAGACATTTGCTTAGAGTTGCACAGTGGGTGAACAGCTGAGCTAGTAGATCGAGGCTTGGCCTCTCCAGCACACTGCCAGTGGTCGGGGTATTGGGAGGTCTTGTGCTGGGTTTAGGGACAAAGGTGGACATGTCTAGGTGGAGTACACAGGGCCTTCTGGGCCCCACATGCTGTCCCAATGGGTGTCTGCTCTACTCCCTTAGGGCAGGGATGGGGTAGAGGTTGTAAAGGTGCCAATCTGTGTGGTGTCAGGAGTGAGGAAGGCTTCCTGGAGGTCATTTGGTGACTCATTTGGCTTCTGTGTGAGGAGTGTCAGATTGAGAGGCCAAATGCTCTGTGTGCCATGTCCAGGTAAACTCTTGGGTTACCTCTAATTTCCTGTATTCGTGTGAGGCTCAGAGGGCTGGAGTGATTTGCCCAAGGTCACACGGCCAGTGAGAGGCAGAGGTGTGAGCCCACGCCTGTGACATCCGGGTTCATGTCCAATAGACCACGTGACACTGCTCCTGGTGTCATGGGGCCCTGTGTCTTGGAACTGGGGTTCATAGCTTTCCTGGGTCTTTGGCAGAGGCTCCTGGTTCTCTGCCACCTGCTCTGCTGTCCGCAGGTATAAGGGCTTCATCAAGGACTGCCCCAGCGGGCAGCTGGACGCGGCTGGCTTCCAGAAGATCTACAAACAGTTCTTCCCGTTCGGAGACCCCACCAAGTTCGCCACGTTTGTTTTCAATGTCTTCGATGAGAACAAGGTGAGCGTCAGGTTGCTGTGTCTGCCCCAGCCCTGAGCTCCTCCAGCAGCTGCAGCCTGCAGCAGGAGGCTCAGCAACACTCCCAACCCTCTCCCCTGCATGGCTCCCCACTCGGGACAGACTGTTCTTGTGCACATGTGCACAATGGCACATGGAGTTGTGACACTGACACACGGACCAGCATAGATCTAGACCCACGCATGCGTGCATGTGGCTGACACACTCAGTGTTCCATGTGCACAAATACACAGGCTTGCACATGCAAACATACAGAGAGCTGCATAAGTGTATGAAGGCATAGCGTGTGCACACACACATACATACATGTAAGTTTTTTATGGAGACTGGTTGTAACTGGTATTCACAGTGTGATTGACAGGCCTGACAGCCATCCTTGGGGTTGACATTCCTTTTTTTGTTTGTTTGTTTTTTGAGACAGGTGTCTTATTTAGCCCAGGGTCTTAGGCTTCTGTTGTTGTGATAAAACACCATGACCGAAAGCTACCTGGGGGAGGAAGGGTTTGTCTCAGCTTTCAGGTTCCAGTTATAATCCCTAAGGCCAGGCAGGAATCTGGAGGCAGGAGCTGAAGCAGAGGTGATGGGGAGTGTAACTTTCAACTCCAGACCCCTGCCCAAGCCTGGCCCACCCACGTCAATCATTAATTAAGAAAATGCTTCACAGGCCAATCCTTCTCCCTCCTTCGCCTCCCCCTTTTCCTTCTCCTCCTTCTTCCTGTCATTTTTTTGAGACAGGGTTTCTCTGTATAACAGCCCTGGCTGTCCTGGAACTCCTCTGTAGACCATTCCAGCCTTGAACTCATTGAGCCTCCTGCCTCTGCCTCCCAAGTGCTGGGATTAAAGGAGTGTGCCACCACCTCCCAGCCTGGGGTATTTTCTTAATTCAGGCTCCCTCATCTCCAGCGACTGCAGCTTGTATCAGATTGAGAAAAGACAAAACAACAGCAAAAAAACTAGCCAGGCCACCCGGCTGACCTTTGATTCTCTGTGTAGCTGAGTCTGGTATTGAACATCTGTCTTCCTGCCATGGGTTATGATGGCTGTACTTTCAATGCCCCCATTTGACAGATGAGGGAATTGAGGCTTACAGCGTGGCTTTTGTGTCTGACTCTTTCACTGAGTACCACTGAGCACAAGTTTCCAATGCTTACTATGTGGCAATGAATGTTTCCTGACATTGCTAATCCAGCAGCTGGCCTGTCCAGATTTGGGGTAGCCAGGCTTACAGACTGTCCCCAGACAGCATTTTCCTGACTTCGTAGTATTCCTGGAATCCCCATGACTCACCTCTGCACTGGTGATTCAGGTGGCTTCTATTTTATGGTCCTAGCTGTCTCCCTAGGTGCTCCAGTCTGCGAGTCCCCCTGGCTGGTACGGGGAAGGGAGGTTCTACCCTCTCTTGATGGACCTCAGTTTCCTCAATTGTAAAACTAATAGGTAGAACTACGCTGCTTGTAGAATGGGCTCTGTCCTGAGCTCCTTCCCCTTGCCGGGTACCCCATTATTGCTGTGCTGTGTACTGAGCCCAGCAGGCATCAGCATCAGCATCTCTCTGTCACTATTCCAGCTCTGCCTCCTCCCCTTCCCTCACCCCTTCCCTCTTGTCCTGTCCATCAGCTACCGGTGTGTTGCATTTGCTACTGCCCACCATCGTCCTATGAGGTCTGGGCTGACCAAAACCATCCCCTGTGTCTCCCTCAGGATGGCAGGATCGAGTTCTCTGAGTTCATTCAGGCACTATCGGTGACCTCGAGGGGGACCCTGGATGAGAAGCTGCGGTGTAAGTTCCCTATCCCCCACCAGGCTGGAAGGATGTAACTCCAGCCCTTGCCAGGAGGAGGTGCCAGACACCTGCAGTGGTGACCACAGATGGCGTCTGCTCTGGGAGGTCAGGGCATTCCCAGAGGCCTGGGCAGTGAGCTCTGGGCAGGTGGACCCAATGTGGCCAAGCAAGCAGGCCAGGCCATCTGTGCAGGGCCAGAGCAAGAACACTGCTCTTCCAGGACAGATAAAGGTCTCAGGGGGAGGGATTGGGTTTTGTGAGGCAGGGTCCACAGCTATGTTGGTGGGTCAGGCTGCAGGGCGTGGGATGGGGGTGGGAACAAGAGTGACATTAAGGCAGATACAGCACTGGGACAGTGGCCCCTGTGGGTGGTGTCACAGAGTCCAGAACCCTGCTACACTCAGGTCTTCAGACATACTGATGGTCTCTCATTTACTTACTCATTTCACAAACATTAGTTGAAGGCGCCACCTGTGATACCAGATGGGAATTCAGGGTCTACCCAGGGCTAAAATGGACGTGTCCTTGCTGTAGTGGCTGCCAGTCTATCACAGTGACACGGCTCCTAAACTCCCTAATGCTGTATGGGAGGCAGGAAGCAGGAGAGCTGATGAGCCTAGAGGGGATTGTTTGACAGAAGGGGGCTCCGGGCCAGAGCCTCATGAGAGAGGCTGCAGCAGGAAGACTGGGAGGCCACGGAGGCAATGGCATGCACGCCTTGGGTGGCCACTGGCTGACACACGGTGGTAGCCTGGGGATTTTCTAGGAGAGGAGGGCCAGTTGGTCAGAATGCCCTGGTTGGTGGGTGCTTTTGTTTCCATAGTGGCTTCTGTGTTTGGAAACAGAAGAGGATTTTCGTCGTGCACACCCCATGCACTGTTTAATTTCCTCCTTTTGCCCACGGTGGGAGGGGCAGCCTGACGGTGAGCGGTCAGGCACAGGGGAGGCAGTCACAGAGTCAGGGGTTTGTGGAGGGTCTCATGACCCAGTACAAGGACCTGGCTGTCTCCTGCCCCCTGCCCTCTGCTCCCATTGCCGCCCTCTGGGGGCAGCACTTCCTCACACAGGGCCACGCCAGTCCCTGTAGGCCAATACCTGCATACTTTAAAAATTATTTTTTTATTGTTTTTGCTGTACTGGAGACTGAACCCAGGACTTCGCCCATGCTAGGCAGATGCTCAGCCATTGAGCTACAGCTCCAAGCCTTGTTTTTACAAGCTCCCAAGCCTGTGTAGAATTCACTATGTGGCCCAGGGTGTTCTTGAACTCATGATCTCTTGCCTCTACCTCCCGAAAACTCAGATTAGAGACATGAGCCACTGCATGTAACTCCTGAATCTGTATTTATTTTATTACTGTGGCTACACTGGTGTGTGAATGTACCCTCTTACATATAAGTATACATTGACCTGAAGTCTGGCAGGACTGTCTCGTCTCAGGCTTTGTACTGGGTCACAGGGAGGGAGAGGGGAGAAGCTGCTACTGCCCCGGGCCAGAGTGACCTCTTTCTGGATGGTTGATCACAGGGGCCTTCAAGCTCTATGACTTGGATAACGATGGCTACATCACCAGAAATGAGATGCTGGACATAGTGGATGCCATTTACCAGATGGTGGTGAGTCTCAGGAGGGTGGCAGGGAGGCCATCAGAGGATGAGTCCAGGAGGGTAGGGGTGGCAGGGAGGCCACTTGTGATCTACAGGGCCCAGGGGGAAACCCAGAGTCACTTTCCTGTTTCTAGACAGTACAGGCAATCAAGTACTGCTGGGTGAATAGCATGGACATCCATCCCTACCTGAGGGTCAGTGGGGAGTGGTGTCATTTGAAAGGTGGCAGGGCTAGAAAGGTGGCAGTGGAATAGAGAGAGGTGCTCCTCACAGGCGCCAGTCCAGGGTGTCAAGGCAAGAGTTTAGTTGTGAGCTCAAAGGCAAAAGTGCTGGCCCAGTGCCCTGGTGCCTGGCAAGGGCTTGGCTTAGCCACAAGGCTAAGCTGCCACACTGGCCCAGCCTCATGTTGACCGACTTCGGCAGGGGAACACCGTGGAGCTCCCAGAAGAAGAAAACACGCCAGAGAAGAGGGTGGACCGGATCTTTGCCATGATGGACAAGGTGAGGTGGGGCACAGGGACCGTGGGCCTGCCCAGGCTTTGCCACTGATCCTTGGGGGATTGGCTCAGGCCAGTCAACCTGGCTTACGGCTGGCAGCCAATCAGACTTTTTAGTGAGTTTCCCAGGGAGGTTCCTTATACTTAACCAGGGCTCTTGGCCTTTGTTATTCCGTCCTGGACTCCTTTGATACTCTGCAGAAGCTGGACTTCTCACAGTAACCACCCCAAGTGTGTAAAAATATTATTTTTTCTTTCCTTTTCCTTTCTCTCTCTCTTCCTTCCTTTTTTTTTTTTTTTTTTTTTTTTTTTTGAGACAGGGTTTCTCTGTATTGCTTTGGAACCTGTCCTGGAACTAGCTCTGTAGACCAGGCTGGCCTCGAACTCACAGAGATCCACTTGCCTCTGCCTCCTGAGTGCTGGGATTAAAGGTGTGCACCACCAACAGCCAGCAAAATATTACTTATTATTCTTACAGTGAAAAGGGAACCGATTATTTTGGGTTGTGGCTTCTGAGGCGTGGTTTAAAGGGGATCTGTGATGCAGCTTTGGGGTGTGGCTCAGTGGCAGAGGGCTTGCCTACCATGTGCAAGGCCCTGGGTCCCATCCCCAGGACTGCACAGACACAGTGGTCACGCCCATCTGCCCAAGTCAAAGCTTTGATATGGGCAGCGCTGTGTGACAAGGTCTTGGGGTGCACTGGTTCTGATGGTTACCCTAGGCTCTGGGAGTGAGAAGACTGACCCGCTCTGTGTTCACAGACTTGCTGCATTTTAGCCACAGACCCCAGGGGTCCGGGGAGAAACCGCTTTCTCTTGTGTCTATGTGTCTCTGTCGTATGCACATGCGTGCTTGTGTGTGTGTGTGTGTGTGTGTGTGTGTGTGTGTGTGTGTGTGTGTGTGTGTGTGTGTGCTGGCTGGCTGGCTGGCCAGTGAGCTCCAGGGATTTTTCTGCCTCAGCCTTGGCCCCGGGATTGGGATTAGGAGCATATACCACCTTATTGGCTTTTATGTGGATTCTGGGGATCAAACTTGGGTCTTCAAGCTTGCACAGTTAGCACTGTGCTCATGCCTCTCCCCAGACCCTCTGTCTTTTTTCTGCAGAACTCTATGGCTCCTTTGACTCTCTGATGCTTTTCCTCTGATTTTCTGGTGGTGTTGTGGGTTGAACCAGGACCTTATACAAATACAAAGCCTGTACTCTACTTGCCATACCCCAACCAGAAACATTTTTCCCCAAACTAAGAACTTTGATTTATGTGGAAATTTGAAATTGTGGGATGAAGAAACAGTCTGTTTAGTCTCCATGAGAATACAAGACCCCAGGCTGCCTGCCGCCTGCTGATGGTACTGGGCTTGCCCTGAGAACTCTGAGCTCTTGATTAGGAAGGGAGATTAGAACATGGGAGGGGTGCATCTGGGCTCCTGCTGTCCCCAGACAATTTTTAGATGGAGTGCAGAAGCAGCAGCAGCTCTCTTACAGTGGACCCCAAACTGAGTTTTGATGTAGTCACACATCTTCTGGCTTTGGAAACACCACAGATCTTGGATTTACAGGGGTGTGATTGTGGTGTTCCTGGGATGGCAACCCTAGGCCAGTTCCCTTGCCAGACCACAGGGGACAGGTGCACTTCTCCTTTGAGGGAGGCTCTGAAGATTTGAGGGCGTGGGAGGCACTGAGCATCACAGCTGTAGACTCTCAGCCATCACAAGACCAGCCTTGCTAGGGTGGTGATTCCTGGTGTTGTCTTCCCTGCTGCTGAAAGTGCAGTGAGTGGTACCTGCGGCCCGAACTCTAATTAGGCTCCTTCTTAGGACTCCTGGGACTTGATGTGGCCTACTCCAGGGGTGACTTAAATGCCCTTTCAAAAGAGGCCCCAGGAAAACACATGGAGCACTAACCCTTAGGATTGACCACCTTTTATGCAACTGGTATGCATGTGTGCGTGTTTGCACACTTACGCACATGTATAGGTGCAGGTCCCAGAAGCTGGCCCACCAGGATGTCTCACTGGGACTTAGGAATCACTGATTCAGCTAGGCTGATAGATCAGTAAGCCACAGGGCTCGTCCTGTCTCTACCTCCCTTGAGGTTACAATTCTATGCCAGCCACCATGCCTGGTATTTTGACATGGGTGCTGGGAATCAAACTCAGGACCTCATGCTTGTATGGCAAATCTCTACCTCTAGTGCTGGAATTTAGCTGGGTGGTAGCATGAGCCTTTAATCCCAGCACTTGGGAGGCATAAGTAGGTAGATCTCTGTGAGTCTGAGGTCAGCCTGGTTTACAGAGTGAGTTCCAACAGCCAACACTACACAGAGAAATCTTAACTGGAAAAAAATGTCACTCAGGATAAGATAGTAAAACAAAACCAACCAACAAACCAACCAAACAAACTAACAAAAGACCCTAGGAGTTGAGATAGGATCACCACAAGGGCTCTGCCACTGAGCCATCCTCCAGGTCTTTCTGTATGTCTTAGGGTCTGTAAGTTGACCAACCTGGCCTTGAACTCCCAGGATTTGAAGTCGTGAGCCCCCTGCCTCAGCCTCCCAAGTAGCTGAGATTATAGGCGTGCAGCACTGGGCCCAGCTCATTTTAGAGAATTAATGGTAATAAGAATACAAAGTGGGATATGAGCAGTACAGTGGCTTTGGCTGATATAAGCCCAGAGCTGCATGTGTCTTTAAGTTGATGCATGTGGTGTCCATTCCCCAGACCTGTCATTGTGCCTTTGTTTGGTCCCCAGATGGTGACCCACAGGCTGTGAGAGGTGGGTCAGGCGTGCCAGGTCTGTCTGCTGCTGCCTTTTTACCTCCTCTGAGGATGCCATTAGACTCAGGAAGTTCTACTGACCCAGCCGTGGGTGGGTGTAGACCCCTGAAGGCAGACTGCCATCTTCAACTACCTTTCTTTTTGCAGAATGCCGATGGAAAGCTGACGCTTCAGGAGTTCCAGGAAGGCTCCAAGGCCGATCCCTCCATTGTGCAGGCGCTGTCCCTCTATGATGGGCTGGTATAGTCCAGGCCTAGAGCTGGGGTGAGTTGGTTCTGAGGCAGAGGTGGGGTAAAAAACCCACCCACAGAACAGCCAGAATGAACAGCTAATTCTTTGTATTTCCAGAGTGCTTGGGGCTGGGGGGCAGGGTCTTCACGTCAGCCATGGCCCTGTGGTGTTTTATTTATTGTTTTTTTTTTTTTTTTTTTTTTTTTTTTTTTTTATCAGCCTAAATCTAGTCTCTGGTTAGCTTGAAAAAGTTTTCCTGGGTTGAAGACACCATAGTCGGTCAGGATGAGGAGGCTAGGAATGCAGGATGCTTCGCCTCTCTCTCCAGCTCATTCTGAGCTCTATTTTGAAGCTTCCATTAATATTACTTAAAGGTGTGTGTGTGTGTGTGTGTGTGTGTGTACGTGCACGCCTGCAGAGGTCAGAAGAGGACATCGGATCTACTGGAGCTGGAGCTTGGGGCCTCTGTGAGCCACTGGATGACTGGGAATTGAACTTGGGTCCTCTGGAAGAGCAGGCAGTGGTCTGAGCCACTGAGCCATCTATTAATACTACTTTGCACAGAAATACTTTTGTATTGACAAGGCAGTAGAATTAATGTTTACAAAGAAAATGTCACTAAAAATAAATGTGATAAATTAAAAGTTTACTTCTAAAACTTTCCTATCTGACCTAGACATAACCACAGTGGCCAGAATCATTCATTTTTTGAAAGTCACATCTATCTATCTATCTATCTATCTATCTATCTATCTATCTATCCATCCATCCATCCATCCATCCATCCATCCATCCATCTATCTATCGTGTGCTTGCTCATGCCATGGTACTCACATGGAAGTCTGGACAGTCTGTTACGTGCTTCTGCCTCCTGCCCTGCTCTGCCCAAGTGGATGAGTTCCACGCTGCTGAGAAGTTGACTCTGACTATGATTTGCTGAACTTGGTGACTAGATTATAACAGCAAAGCAAAGCCAGGTGCTTGTTTCTTTTTTCTTTATCACTTTCCAAAAATGAGTTGGTTTGTGCATCTTGCAAGTTTCTGTGTAGAAACCATAGGTTGCCATTGGGTGTCTCTCTCTATTGAGACCCACATTCCCACTGAACCTGGAGCTCATCTATTAGCTAAACTGGCTGGCCAGCAAACCCCTGGCATCTACTTGTCTCCAGTTCCTCAGTGCCAAACTTAGAACATGCTGCCAGGCTCAGCTCTTTTACCTGGGTGCTGGGGATCAAACCCAGATCCTAACAGCTTCTTTAGCAAAAAGGCCATCTCTGAAGCCCTGAGTTAATTGTTTTCATGACATCCTTTAAAGGTAACTGATGACTTTTGAATATCCATCATTATGAACTTCTGGATCTAAATGTATTGATGAGTTTTAGATTTACAGATTTTTAGCAGCACATGCAATGCTGTGTCCATCACTTTTCAGGAGTTACATTTCAGTCAGAACTTCCTGGTAAGTGTGTAGTCACATATTTCAATCTCAGCATTTAGGAGACTGAGGGACAAGGATTAGCCGTGAGTTCCAGTTTCAGCCAGCGTGAAATACACAGAGAGTTTCAGGCCAGCCTGGGCAACAGTATAAGGTCATGCTCCAAATCAACAACAAACATTGTGTCAATAAAAGATGGACAGGGCTTGATCTGTGACAAGAATAAGAGTGCAAATCAGAAAGGTTTGCTGACCACAGAGGCAGACAGGAAGGGCAGCCAAGACCCCACAATGGCACTGCCCATCCACTTCCTCCCTTTATTCCTGTGTCCTGGCTGTCCTAGACATTTCATAACCAACTTGGTGAGGAAAGGGTTTATTGGCTTACAAATCCATATCACTGTTCATCACTGAAGGAACTCAAACAGGGCAGGAACCTGGAGGCAGGAGTTGGTGCAGAGGCCATGGAGGATACTGCTCACTGGCTTTCTCCTCATGGTTTGCTCAGCCTGCTTCCATATAGAACCCATGACCACCTGCCCAGGTTTGGCACTGCTCACTATGGCCCCATTAATCACTAATCACAAAAATCAACCTCTAATTACAAAAATGCCCTACAGGCTTGCCTACAGCCTGATCTTATGGAGACTTTTTCTCAACTGAGGCTCCTTTTCCCTCTCTGATGACTCTAGCCTGTGCCAAGTTGACATAAAACTAGCCAGTACACTCCCTGTGGAGACTTCCTTCTTGGGACACCATTGAATACCTCCTTTCTACTGGTTTTCATTCTAAGAGAAAACTGAATTGGCCTAGATAAGGGTTTCTGGTCCTCATAGATCAGGAGCCAGCTGGAGTGGGAGGTTTCCCCAACTGTCCAATCAGGAGGCCTCCAGGACCCCATATTCCCACATTGACATGGTTGGGAGGCTGCCTGGTTCCAGGGAAGGTTCTGTGGGGTCGAAGACAGGACCCCATGTGCTTTTAAAAAGAGGGTCTATGAGGGGAACTCAGTACAAAAGCCATCATTTTAAAGTGGACAGTTCAGCCAGGCCTGGTGTATAGGCCTATCATCCTCTTGTCACACACACACACACACACACACACACACACACAGACAGAGTGGTGCTATTTAGTATATTCATAGTGTTATGCAACTGCCACCTCCTCCTGGTTCTAACAAATTGGCATTCTCTAAAGTCAGGCTCCACATGCAGTGTCTCCCAGCCCTGCCAGCCAGGCTGCTCTGTCTCTTTGGACCTGCCTATTGTGAAGTGGCCTTTTGAGCCTGGCTTTTGTCCCTTAGCAAGCCTCCCAGACCTATCCATGTCATAGCTTGTGTCACAGCTTCATTCTGAACTGTTGGTTTGTTGAGATGTGGTCTTACTGTACAACCCAGGCTTTCCATTCCGGGTCACAACTTCAGCCCTGTGTATCTTTGTGATGTTGACACAAAACACACAGCTCTCAGCTTAAACAGGGTAAGAAATAGTCCATTCTGGAACTAAAAAGAAAGTGAGTGAACATGACCCAGGAACACGGAGTTTCATCAACTTGTGTCAGTCGCCCGATGGAGCCGTAAATCAAGGCCATTTTAAAATACACTGACCCGTACATCGCCAACGGGGCGGGGCTTACTGGCCAGGCGCTGTCTGTTCCCACCGTTTCAGTCCCCACTGTCCAGGCACAGGGCCTCCAGTGCTCCATGCTCTTTTGACTCTGATCTTTTCCTTGGGATGTGTGATGTTGGACTCTCAGGTCCGTCCTCATGGTTCAGAACTGTACTGTGGAGAGCATCTTATTTATTCCTTAGAGATAAGTATGAAGAATCCATGGCTGAGTCAAAGGTCATGTGCACTTTTCAGGAGTTCTAGTCCAGAACTCCAGCTTGCCCTTTAGCGCCCTCTAGTTCCCTCACTCTTCTTTTTCCATTTATGACTCCTCTTTTGACTGAGAAAATTTGATACAACTCTGTTTGTTTGTTTGTTGTTTTTCCAGACAGTTTCTCTGTAGCTTTGGAGCCTGTTGTGGAACTCACTCTGTAGACCAAGCTGTCCTGGAACTCAAAGAGATCCACCTGCTAGGATTAAAGGCGTGAGCCTCCACCGCCCAGCCTTGACCCAATTCTTGGTATATAAGTAATTGAATTAAATATAAAATCAAAGCTTCCCTGCTAATAAGTCATTAAGAAATTTATTTTAAAAGTGGCTTTTGTTGGGGGCTGGAGAGATGGCTCAGAGGTTAGGCGCACTGACTGATCTTCCAGTGGTCCTGAGTTCAATTCCCAGCAACCACATGGTGGCTCACAACCATCTATAATAAAGTCTGTTGCCCTTTCTGTCATGAAAGTGTACATGCAATAAAGAGCTGTATACATTATAAATAAATCTTTAAAAGTGGTTTTTGTTACACATATAATTTTATCATTAAAAACAAAAAAGTAAATTTGCATATGAATGTAATAGATTTTTTTTTGTCAAGAAATTTATTAACCTTTACAAACACTATTTCACCCAATCATTCATTAAAAAAATGTTTTACAATTAAGTCTGTAATAAAACCATGTAATGTTCACCAGTGCATTGCAGCCCATTTTACACCCATGGAGATTAATAAACCACTTTAAAACAGCAGTTTTCATTGCTACCAGGTAAGGGTATAGATGTTTGTTTTTATATAAAGATTTAAATTGTGGCTAAAGATTTGATACCACAGGATCTGGATCATCTTTGGCTGTTTTCAGAGCTGTCCTAAACACAGCCACACATAAATGCATAGCACAAAAAAACAGCAGAAGTGTGTCTGTATACCTTCCAGAATTGTGTTCTAATCCCAGGCCAAAATTCATGTAATACTTGTTCCTTTTAATAAAATTCAGGTCAGGTGGTGGCAGTGGTGGTGCGTGTCTTTACTCCCAGCACTTGGGAGGCAGAGACAGGAGGAATCTTTGTGAGTTCAAGGCCAGCTTGGTCTACAGCGTGAGTTCCAGGACATCCAGGGCTACACAGAGAAACCCTGTCTCAAAACCCAAAATCAAATAAACAAACTAAAAATTCAGGTCAGTAACTAAAACAACGTTTAAAAAAAAAAAAATGATCTGGTTGGAAAGATGGCTCAGAGGTTAAGAGCACTGCTTGTTCTTCCCGAGGTTCTGAGTTCGATTCCCAGCGACCACGTGGTGGCTCACAGCCATCTGTAATGAGATCTGGTGCCCTCTTCTGGCCTGCAGGCATACATACATGCAGAAAGAGCACCGCATACATGATAAATAAATAAATCTTAAAAAAATTAAAACCAAATGTTCTAACAGGATACAATTTAAATATATACTAATCTGATGTATTGGAGAAGTAACTGTGAAAAACACTGAAACTCCTTTTCAGTAATTAACCCATGATGTTACTGTGAGAACAGAATGCAGTAAACAAAAACAAAAAACACTGCAATGTATAACACACGCGTCTCAATCTGAAGCTGTTTCAGGCAGCCTTGGTGTTGTGTGGTGTGACAGCTTGTGAAGGACACTGGTTGTGAGCTCTGGATCAAGGCTACAGTCAAGTTTCAAGATCCCACGTGTGTGGGTGCCACCTGAAACACCTCAGACTAGGGACACTTGATTTAGAATCACTTTTGGTTGTGGTGCATTCAGAGATCTTCCACAAAGTGGAGACTAAGAGGGGCTGAGTCTCTTCTTACCACCATATTTAGTTATTCAAACGCAAATGGACTTGCAGCCTAAAGTTTAGAAGCCAGGCCCCAAGGGACCATCCCTTGCTGTGGCTTTAACATAGCCTGCCTCCCTCTGTCTTGCAGATGTGTGGGAACCACTCGCCTCTTCCTGTGCCATGAGGCCACCGCAGCCTGACACCACCCCGTGCCCACCCAGCCTTCCTCATCTACACACAGCCGGCCACCCTTGAGCCTCCGGACCTGGTTCTCCTCCCCCCTTGCCCTGCATCCACCTGCTGCCTGAAGCCGCTGGTTCCAATTGTCAACAACCTCCGCTTGTCCAAAACAGCGACGAACCGAAATGGAAAAGGCTCCAGCCCTCCGCAGACTAAGGACTTGGCTGTCACCCTTGGTCAGCCCTTCCATTCCTCCTGCTTCTCCTGCGTGTGTGCTTTCGTTTTTATTTCAAATGGACATTGTAAAAGAAAACAAACAAACTACCTTCTGTTCTAGAAGATACTGACCCTCGGGAGAAGGCCTCTGGGTCTCAGAGAACTCAATCTCTGCCTGGCCCTCTACAGCGGTGGCCGGGGCCCAGGGTTGCCTGGTGAGGGCTCACAGCCCAGCCTTTAGCAGCGAGGCCGCTGGCAGGCAAGGTTGGTTAGATGTGACAACAGTGTTGTGTGTTCTGTGGGGAAAGTGAGTTTTTTTTTTATACTCATATATAATCGATACCTTTTATTTATTGGTTGTTAACTATTGCTGCTACCTTGTGTGTCTGAAACTCCCAGAATGCTGGGCCTCCGTTTACATGTGCACACCCTCACCCACCTGCCCACCTCATATAGGAGGATGGTGGCCTGCAGTGGCCAAGAAGCCAAAAATCTTTTCCTCTTTTTTTCAGATACTGTGCTCCATTTTTGGAGAGGGGAAGGTGGGCATTCCTAAATGGCTAATGTACTGTTTCCCAGCTTCTGCCCTGCAGTTCCCACCCCTCTCTCTCCTCTGCTCTCCTTGGAGTCCACAACACTTTTTTTTTTTTCAAGGACAAATGGGACTTTTTTTTTTTAAATTTTGCAACTCTTGCTCTGATGTTCACAGCAGAGAGAAAATGGAGGAGCTTGTCCTGGGAGTGGGAACTAGGAGAGGGCACCCGGTGTGGAGAGTGTGAAGTGGGCTTTTCTGCAAAGCACTGGTTGATGCTAGGGGTGTGTGTGGCCTGTGAACTCCTGGGCTTTCCTGCCCGGCTGCCTTTGGCAGCAGGCTCCATGGCTTGACTTCTCCGCTCCGAGTCTGGGAAGGAGGGGGTGAAAGGAAAGGACCAGGCCATGCTGCTGAGGGAGGCTCTGCTTCTCCAAGACTGAGTCCAGAGCCAGGGGTAGCTCCATTTCTGTCACCAGGAACACCAGGAAGCTGTGGACCAGAAGCAAGGAGCCTGAGTCTGCCTTCTCAGTCAGCGGGGCTAAGGGGCCTGGTAGTTGGTCTTGCTGACATTCGATTCTCAGCCTGGAGCTTGGGTTCATACATCTGTGACACTGTTTTGTGGTTGTGTTTGCCAGGCCCTGAGTGTCTGATGGCACACATTCTAGCCCCTCTTTAGCATTCTCTAGGCTCTTGAGCTCCTCTGGGGCTCATCCTCACCCTGGGCAGATTTCTCGGGTGAGACAAGGCCTCCCAGCTGCAGAGAGGCAGGCCTGGGCCCATAGCTCTTGCTTCTAGCTTTATGTAGTCTCTCTGGCCACCATTGAGAGGGGGGAAATGGCCCCTGGATTTTGTTCTGCTCCAATCCTCCCATAATGTCCACCGTACTTCTGAGAGGCCAGACTTCCTTGCAAGTGACCCATGGGTGAGTAGCTACCAGCTGAAGGATGGATGTTCTCCATCAAGAGGTGGTTTTGTCCTGCCTCTGCATTGCTGTGGGTAAGAATGCGTAGCCAGTCCATAAAGCCACCCTTTTCATGTGCCCCCGCCAGCCCACCAGGTCTCACAGGGCTCCGGCTGCAGGCAATTTTCCTTGAGGCTTCTTTAGGTCAGCTTCCTGCGTGGCCACTGATGGGGCCTCTAGGACAGGGAGTAGGTGTGGTGACTTAGGTTGAGAGGATGGGAGTGGACTCTCTCTGATCTCTGGATCCTCAGTTGTCCTCTCCTCTCTGTCGGTCGCGTATTTGGTGGCATCAAGGTTCAGTGGATTCCTAGCTGAGAACTGTCACTAGTTAAGCATGGATGTTCACCAAGTCTGTGGGGCCAAGTTTCCTCTCAGCATCTTGGCTTTTTGGTTTGCAGCCTCAAGTGTGGCTTTGGTCTTCAGTTTATGTCCTTGGGCCCATGCCTGGGACACTGAAACAGCTCTGTTTCCATCCAAGGATGAGTGCTGACTGCCTTCTGTCCTTCTCTTTCACCAGCCGTTAGCTGTGGCACACAGCATGCCCAGAATCTGAGGCTGGGCCTCTTCTGAGCAGCCTGAGGGCCTCTCCCCAAGTTCATTTCCACTGAGTCCCACCCCATCTGATGCTGCTTTCTTTAGGGGTGTGGTCCAGCCTGTGAAGCCAGGTCCCTGGTCCCTCTGCAGACCCTCCCTCCTGGGGCCAGTGATGCTGTGCCCTCTTCTTCCAAACATTTGCTCACCACTTTGTGTTGACGGTGACTTATAGAGCGTCACGACTTTGTGATATCTAGCCAGGTTTAAAATAACAAGGCAAATGTATGCGGCATTGGCATCTCTTCCTTTAATTGCTCTGCAGTTTGACAGTTGATTTCCTATGAAGATGCATTTGGGCCTTCGGGGACATTGTCTCTTATAGGGGATGGTAGAGTGCCTGGGGATCCTTGGCATCTCTCCAGAGGAAGCCCCCCCCCAAGCAGAAAGCCACTGTGATTCCCCCCAGTGTATTTCCGAATTTACATGATTCAAGGATTACAGGGGCTCCCCCTGGTGGTGATGAGTTGTAGTGCGTCACCTGGGGGCTGCAGTGGTCCAGCAAGTGGCTAGAGGTGGGAAGGCCAAGGAGGCTGTGGTTCAAGAGACCCTGGACCCCCAGCCACACATATTTGGCAGCATGTCTCCTACCTGCCCCTCCACTAGGTCATCTGAGACTGGCAAGGTAATTGGCATAAGGGCACAGTGGGAAGCTTTTCCCTCCCAACTTTAATTTTTTTAAAAATATCTGCAGAATAAACCCAATGGTTAATTTTTGAATGAATAAAAGGCTTTTGTTGAATAAACAGTTGGTTCCATCTTCTGTCTTGGCACTAGGTTCAGGTTTGTCTGCTTCCCAGGGTGGGGGCACCCAGCACCCTCCGCCACATCATCCCTGGACAGACTCAGTCTCCAAATTCCTCTGGGACTTTGGGGGAGTCACATTGCTCATTGGATCTGCTTCTCTGCCTCAGAAGGAGGTCAGCCACCTTGCAGGGGTGCCATGAGGGCTATGAGTAAAACAGCTAAAGGCCCTTGCAGGGTGACAGGCCAGAGCAGGTCCTGTAGCTCCTGAAGGACTCTGGGCAATTTCAAAACCAAATCCAAGAAAGGTGATGCTCTGGTTGTGGTGTTCGCGTCCTTCCCTGCTTGCGTTCCCAGCACCTCAGAGTCTATTTTTTGGGGGTGCCGTCCTGTCTGTGTCTTGCGAGGAGAAAGGGAGGCCCTCGCCTGGTGGTGCAGGCCAGGGGTGATGGGCTTTGTCGCATGTCCAGGCCTCCTCCCTGCTCCCGGTGTATGTTGTCTGTGTCCGGCCAATTAAACACACTTCCTGAAACCCCCTGCCTCCCTGTGTGAGCCTGGTGCTTTGTCTGTCTCTGTGTTTCCGTCTGCTTTAGCTCTCTGCCTCCCAGGACAGCCTGGCTCTTGCATTAGGTGTAGTCTGCCAAGGGTCCCCAAGGGAAAGCCATGCAAGGCAAGAGCTCAATGAGTTGGTGCTGTGATGATCAAGGAGTGGCAGGTGAGCTGCCACAGCAGTTCACCCTGCACCACCCCTTCCTGTGTGTCCCATTTGATGGGTTTGCCTGGAGTCCATGAGTGTGTGTAAACATCCAGCTAAGGCCTGTGGGTCTCGAGTCACATGTCAGAACCTCTATGGGCTAAGTAGGGATCTCCTCCCTCAACAGGGCTATTACTCTCCACCCACCTCTCCTCTATATCAACCTCTCATACTCCACAACCAACAAGGTCCTTGGCAGCTGGCATCCCATGGGGCAAGGTGAATGATTTCTGGGCCAGAGGAAGCTGCATCCTTCCCTATGGCCCAACATGACACCCTATGGGGTGTCACCTGGCCAGAGCTTTCTCAGAGTGGTCCCGGCCATGTCAGCATTACCTGGCAACTTACTAGGAGTGTGGTCTTTTCGGGACTTGGCCCAGACCTCCTTTTTCAGAGACTCTTAGCAGCTGTGGTGGGGTTATGGTAGGGTGTTTACAGGCATCTCACCCCTTTCTTGTGCTAATGGGCAAAGTCTGTGGGGGTAGGATTTAATAATAGAATGTAGGAGACTGATGGTCTGTGCTCTAGAAAGCTGGTTACCAAGGTGGGTCTCAGTCTTCAGGAACTGTCCCTAGGTAGAGGCTGGAGGTCATTTACATATCTACAAAGTATTGCTTCCATGAAAGCATCAGAAATAAATGGGCCTGGGGACATACATCAGTTGGTGAGCACAAGGGCCTGGGTTAGATGCCCCAGTACTGGGTAATAAGCTGGGCAGAGCTGTGCAGGCCTGTAACCCAGGTGTTGGGGGACAGAGACAGATGAATTCTGGGAACTTGCTGGTCAGCTAGCCTAGCTAAAACAGCCAGCCTCTGGTTCAGCAAATGATCTTGCCTCATGGCAATAAAGCAGAGAGTGACAATGGCAGCCAGTGTCTTCCTCTGGCCTCTGCATGTGTGGTCACAGGTGTGTATACCTCACATTTAAATGCACACAGCATATACCATGCACACATATATAGAATAATCATGCATGACAGTTTCACTGCAAATATCCTCAAAGGGCTACTGCAAGGGAAGCCAGGCACTGTGTCTGGCATGGGTATGTTTGCTGTGGGGGCTGCTGGCTGGCAGAGTAAGCTTGAATCTTGTGCAGGAAGCCTTAGGGCAACCCTAGCTCAGGGTCCCTGGATGGGTCACTCTTCTCTGGGCAGGCCTTAACCTTAGTGGACACACCGTGGCTCAGCCTGTCCTGGGTGGCTTACTGAGTCACCTAAGATTTTTCCCTCTTCCCAGGGAGGTGAGCGCTCCATAGTAGCCCAGCTGGAATCTTCCACATCGCTTTACATCTGTGTGCTGTGACCACATACCTGGACAGAAACAGCATAGTAGAGAAAGTATTTACATGTACAATTCCAGAGAGGTTTTAGATGGCCATGGCAGGTGGAGCATGGTGTTGAAAGCGTGAGACAGGGTCTCCTCACACCTCCACAAACCAGGCAGAGGAGAACTCAGGCCAAACCAGAATTGATATAATCCTCAAGCCCCATGCTTAGGAGCCCATTTTTGCCAGCTAAGCCACCCATGAGTCAAAGATTCCACAAAATACCAAAAGCAGCACCACCAGGCAGGAGGGACCCATACCAATGTTTAATATACAAGCCTGCAGGGACATTTCACACTCAATCATAACAGAAGCCGTGACCTGGGGGCTGGAGAGATGGCTCAGAGGTTAACACTGGCTGCTCTTCTAAGGGACCCAGGTTCAATTTCCAGCACCCACATGACAGCTCACAACCAACTGTCAACTTTAACTCCAGTTCCAGGGTTCTGACAACCTCACAGACATACCCGCAAACTAAAAAAAAAAAAAAAAAAAAAAAAAAAAAAAAAAAGTCATTTAAAAAAGCCATGCCCTGAAATAGGGCACTACCTGGCATGGGATAGGAAGGGACAAAGTGAAGCAAGAGGTGAGGGGTAATGGGGGGCGAGGGAGTTCAAGGAGGACCGGGCTGTGGTCGCTGCCTCCCTGCCATCTCCCTAGGTTGGGTATACTGCAGCTGCCCGCCCTCTTCCACCGCGCCTGACATCCATTGCCTTGTCCTCTTGACTTTCTGCCCAGAAAGTACAGGCGTAAAAAGTCTTTTCTGGGTCTCTGGCCATGGCGGTGGGTATGGAAGGGTATTAAAGGCCCCTGAACTTGGGAAAGTGAGCTCTTGTAAAGCAGAACCTTCTGGTTGCCTCCTGCATCCCCTTTTAGCAGAGCAGCGTGTGGAGCAAAAAGACTGCATTTCCCAGACTCCCTTGGGCGCCTCGGCCTTGTTCAGTTTTAACCAATAGAGTGAGAGCAAAGGAACTAGCCTCGGCCCCCTTCGTGGTGGCTGGACCACAGACTCCAAAAACAAGCCTTTCTAGCATGGCGTCCCCAAACCCGTCGCCACACCAGCCCAAGACAGGCTGACTAAGAAGAGAGATCCATTCAGGATCTCTCCCCGTGTCATCATCCCGATTTAGATCCTCTCTAATACATTGTGTGAGCCTCTGGGTCAACGTGAACAACCCGATTCCTCCCGCAATTATTTGCATCTAAATTCCAAAGCAATTAAATGAAGAACCGCACAGGCGTGGGGCAGTGTTTCGGGTCATTGTTCTTTCTCTGGTCTTCTCAGTCTACCTTTGTCCTTCCCCTCCCCCTTCCCCAGGGTACCCTCGACCTCCTTTAGGGTCCAGGTGAAGGATTCCTGCGGACATCATTGTTTTACTGAGAGACTTAGGATCTGCTGGCCAGGTGCGATATCAGCTTGGAGCCTTAAGACAGACACAGGGAAAGTGGCTTCCCGGGCAGCCTTGGAAGGACTTTGTCAGGGGCCCCTGGATCAGGGACCTGTTTCAGAAACTGTCCTTTACCTAGGCCAGACCTTAGGCTACCCACCTTGGTAGGTAGATCTCAGGGATCACATGCCATGTGTTGAGATATGAAACCACTCTCCTCGCTCCCCAGAGAACCAGGAAGAGTGGGGAGTGATGGTAACTTCCTGTCACTCATAGGACAGAGTGTGTCTCAATCAGTGTTCTATTGCTGTTAGAGACTCCATGATCAAGGCAGCTGTTACAAAGGAAAACATTTAGGTGGGGCTGGCTTACAGTTTTATCGGCATGGCGGGAAGCATGGTGGCATGTAGGCGGTCATGCTGGAGAAGGAGCTGAGAGTTCTAAATCTGAAAGCCTACCGCCACTGACAGACTTTCTCCAACAAGATCACAGCTCAATACCTGTCAAGCAGTGCCACTCCCTACCGAAAGAGCATTCAAATGTATGAGCCCACTCCAACCACCACAGGGGGCATGTTCTGGGCTAGCCGCTGGAATTCTGGGTGTTGTAAAGGGCTCAACGAGGGTGCTATAGATTCCATTTACTAGCATACCTCAAAGGCTTTGCTTAGGAAAGCCAGCCACCTGCCATGCTAGAAGGTAGAGCTGGGGTCTGGGTGGTGTAAAGATTGTGGAGGGAGCACCCACCCCAGCTTGGGAGTCAGCACAGGAACAATCACAGGCCACCAGAGCCCTGTGTATTAAATCCATGAATGGTTGCTGTCTCCACGTTTTCAGGCAGAAACCAAAAGCTAGCCAGTGTCCTTTAGTAGTCCCCACAGGTAAGAACCTGAGCTTGGTGAGCACAGCTGCGATGCCAGGCTCCACCATGGTCTTTGATGCAGAAGCCTGTCGTCTATGTAGAAAGGCTCGAAACCCTGAGCACAGATGGGTGAAGTGACCCACATAGGGCAGGTGTGAGCTGTTACAGGCAGCCTCTAGTGTGGATTCCTGGAGGAGAAAGAACACATCTGCCCTTGAAGGATTCCAGGAACTAGATGGGGAAGGACGGGAACAGCTTGTGCAAGTGTGCAGGTAAATTACAATGGGAAGAAAGCTGAAGGACAAGAGGTCATTTCCAGGTACTTGCACTCAGCACACAGCCCTGAGTTCCTTCTCTCTGTGTGTCTCAGGAAGCCTGGAAGGATAGTCCCTATAATTCCCCATTCTAACAGTTATCAGGGTAATGATCATAACCTTTTAATACTAACAGCTGACCTTGGACCCTTGCTGTATACCACGTTCTCTGCCTTAGCTATTTAATCTTTGCAGATGCTCCCTCTAGTGGATTGGTTGTAGTACTACACTCATGTTTTAAAGACAGGGCTGCTTCTGCCCACAGGGAAGGGGCTGTCTAACCCAGCAAGTCTTCAGGCAAGTTGGCTTTGCCATTGGCCTCACGGGTGTGGTGGACCTGGGTAGTAGGAGTGAGGGCTGTG